TAAGCAGTTTAAATTAATGGGAGACTTTACAGCAGCCATCAAGCTTTGTAGACAATCGTTAACACATCTTTAAACCAAGAGAAACTGGAATCTAAAGTGGACACAGAGATGATAAAGACACAGTCTAGTATGACATGTTTCATTATAAAACATGGAGCACTTCTCTTGAATAAAGTACATCATAAAAAGTTAGATCTTAATCCCACAGTGTGTTTGTGTAATGTATATACCTGTACATGTGGGACACACACAGGGCAAAAATACATTTCATCAAAGCGTGTATACAAATTATAACTGACACGACATAAAGAATAGATAAAAATGTGTGATTAATCAAAAATGTAATTGATGGACAGCACTTATATATACTGGGTTCTAAAACACTGCAGCTGAAACATTTTAAACAACTCATAAATGTAAATAAATCTGCATAAAGTCTAGTACAGTGTATGTAAAGTGTGAATGAATGGTTGAAAGAGCCGATGGCACAGATTAGCAGCATTGCATCTGTAAGTCAGCCCCAGGGCAGCTGTGGCTACAGTGTAGTTTCCCACATACAGAGTGAATGATTATTGCAATTCAAAAGATCTTTAACTGTTCAAAAAGTCAGACGTAGGAAGGCACAAACCTAGTCGTATACAAAAGTAAGAATATCTACCACCAGCTGAATCACTCAAGGGCAGATTCTTTTGAATGGAAGTAGGACAGATTAGAGTTGGATCTGATGCAGTTGAATCCGTGAGTGTGAAAGAGTGGAGTAGCTGTTCACATAAAGACGTCTATTCACATCAAAAGAAGGATAGAATTTCTTCATAATAAAGTTACAAGATAAAAGTTACGGTTAAAAGTGCACAAAACAGACAACAAAGTAAAAGACCAAAGTAAAACATACTCCTGAGTTAAGAGTTTTCAGTCTGACTGTTCAATGGACAAAGGATGGAACAGGCACAGTGCTGGGTCGATCATATTTGACTAATTGAACCAGGTCCATAACAAGTAAATCAAAACTAATTGTAATAATCATTTAAAGATATTCTCACTAATTAAATAACAGATTTCTTTGTTCTTACCTGGCCTAAGCCATCTGTAAACTACATCCAACCATTCAGTGAGCGCGTGAGGCCGGTGTTGTAGGTAGGAGTCGGCAACGTCAAGAGTTTGTGCCGAAATTAGCTGGTTGTAGATTTTCAATGACGGCGAATGTGATAGTAAAGTAATCCGTTCTGGTTCGGCTCCAAACATCATGAAATTGCAGCCGGAGCAAGAGGAATGTTTAGCAGATTTCATCACCGGCAAAGATGTTGTGGCTCTATACTCCCCACAGGCTCCGTTACTGGCAAAGGAGATGGATAAAGCTAGGCTAAATGCTAAAGCTATGCTAAATTCTAGGTCATTCCGGCGCATTGCAGACGTCATGGCAAACTCAGATCCAATCGTTTCAATCTGCAAAAGGAGTGAACCCCTCCCACCTGTTAACAGAGCTCAATGGAGCAAATCCAGACATTAGTACAATGGTGTGGTAAGACCAGGCTACTACTGTATATACACAGGCGTCCTGAGAAGATACTTTACATGTGCTTAAAAAGTACCCAATGTGTATCAAGTCATCTCTATGAGTAAGTAAGTAAGTATGTAATCTTTATTTATATACCGCCTTTCACAGACCAGAGTCACAAAGCGGTTTACAATTGTTATTATTTTTGGGCACTTGTCCTCTCACTCCACACAGAGATGGGAGCGGGGTGAGGATGAGGATGGGGATGTTCTCAAGCTGCACCACTTGACCATTTTTGTTAAATCTAAAAAATAAATTAATCCCATATTCATTCAGTAATTTTAAAATTAACTAACCAATTAAGCTAGAAAATAATGGATTACCTAATCGCTTATCTTTATTTTCTTGTTTTGTTCAGCACTTGGGGTTGTGTGTGAATATGCGTATAATCTTAGGCTTTCTATTTTGTCTGGTGAAGCACTTGGTCTTCCTCTGTGTAATGTGCTACACCAATAAACTTGCCTTGTCTTATCACAAATCTAGCTGATGCACACTGGGACTTGCTTGCACGGTTACTCCAATGTGGTTTTACTGCAAATGGCAAAAAAACCCGTGATCTTTATGGAAGTGTAGCAAAGACATAGCCAACCAAGTGGAAGAAGGTACTGTGGTCAGATAAAACCAAAATGTATAAAATAAGATAAGATGAACTTTATTGATCTCACAATGAAGAAATGTACAGAGTAACTAGTATTTAAAAGTATATAAAGTACAGAATTCTCCCGTCGCTCGACCCATCCGAACGCCACATGAGACTAACATGGCACAAACATACATACAGTCGACCTTCACACCCGCCCTCGTAATCGCCTCAATTAGCAATCCCCGCTCCCCCAACCCCCCAGGACTGTGGTAAATACGTTCGACTTCTTCCATCAAAACCTTTGCCTGGCTCCAGCCTCGGTCTTGCCCGTGACCTGCCAAGAAATCCCTCCCAGCGCCGTGGTCAAACGGGCGCTCAGCTGGAGAGAGTAAGTGCACATCCAACAGCCTTGTCAAGTTCTATTCCATACTCCCTGTTCTGGCTTCTCTTCGTTTAAAGACCACCATGCCAGTAGATGTCTAATGCAATGCCTCATTATCAGCCCCCCACACACACACCCACACACACGCACACCCCCACCTCCATCACAGCCGTCAGTGTATTCATCACACAGCAGGGCCTCTCCCCCATCAGCTGCGAACTCCACCAGAGAGTCGCGGATCAAACCAAACTTCCCTTTTAAATTGGCCTGACATTGAAGGGTGTTTTTTACGAGGCTCTTTGTTTAAACAATATAAAACATTCATACGTTTCTGTGCGAAAGCGGAAATGGATCAAATAGAAGCTGACGGATTTGTGTCAAAACAAGAGGGGGTGTGGACTCGGAGCATACCCCTGACACTGGCAGCGTGCACATCCACACATGGACGCTGTAATAAACGTCATTCTTTAAACAAAAGTATTGATAATAGTTTTATTTTGGAAACGCAGAGGGGTTGGTTCTGCTGCAGTGGTGTTTTTGCAGCACTGTGGAGAGAGAGCACAAACGGCCTCATAAATTTGTGTTGGAAATATTGTATAATTATCCGATGGTTTTGAATATTTAACAACAGCACTAAGTATTTATAATATTGTATTTGTTATATATTTTTGGGCGCTCAAATACGCTTCACAGTATTCATCAACTGCACTCAAGGTAGTGATAAACTAACAGTGTAAGAAGAGGCGATGAGTATGTGCCATCCCCTCCGAGCACCACCATCATTCAAGCACACACCAGACTCAAAGTGTGGGTTGAATTGTGGGTCCTTGCCTAAGGACACAACAACAGTTTGGTACTTCAATCTAGAAGAGAAAGATTGCATTAGAATAATATTTATTTCATGTTTGCCTGAGTGTATTCTAGCTCCATGATTAGACATTAGACCTAGGAGACGCATGATGAGATACTAAAATATTAAATGTATTTGGACGTGAAATGTTCTTTAAGATTTGAAGATTAGACCCCGGCAGAAATATTGCATGACTTTTGCAGGAGGGAGTTTGATAGAGATTATGAGCATGTGAACCTTTGGGCCTAAACGCTGGTGGTGAAGGAAGCTGAGCCGATAACATGGCAATCCCCCACTAAAGAGGTGGTGAAGGGGAGGAGGTGGGTTGCTGCACAAACAACCACATGATGCGATGAAATTCCGCTTAAGCTGCATTTTTATAAACGCTCCACTGTGGCACCTGATGGTCCCAGAGGCCTCCCGTCACAGTACTAACCAGGCCCTATCCTGCTTAGCATTAGAGGTTTGACCAGATCTAGCTTTGCCATGTTGGATTTACTGGATAAAGCAACACAACAGTATATTTACTTTCATTGATCGACAACAAAATTCCAGAGTTATGTGGAAACGGTACAGAACTGTATGAATTATCAAACGCTTGCTTAGAGTGAGGTTTCCGCTGAATAATGTAATATATTTCCAAAAATAAGGCCAAGTCGTTTGCTCTGACACAAGTTCCATGAAACCACGTTGATAATTCAAAATGTAAATCCTATTTTAGTTTATGATAGAGACATTTATCATCTCATCCTTTGGCAGATAATACAATGTATATATATAAGTTAATATATGACTTCACTTCTCTCCTTATTTGTGGAAAATTAATGACTGTGATCCTTTTAGCCCTCATTTTTGTGTATTTTTTCAATAAATACCGCTGTATGTTTGTGTCAGTTTGGCGTCAAAGCATCTCCTCTGGTGACTGTGACTGTGACTGTAAATGTGAGCAAATCTAAGGTTAGAAATACACAGCTCACTAGGACTGTACCTCAGACTTATGAAACATTGCGCTTCGTGTTTTGATCTGGCGCCCACCTGATGTAAGCCCACAGGCCTCGTCTTTATGGACACTGTCACTCGCAATAATGTTGGATTTTGCATTGCTTGTACAGCATCATAATGTGTAATCTTATTGCAGCCGCCTGTGGTGTGAATAAAAATAAAATATACTTTCTAGGTATTTGATTATGAAATAAGCAGAAAGGTTCTCACACTTTTTGGACGCAGAAATAGTTGGCTTGCATTGGTTGGTCAAAAGAGACAAAAACAGACCAAAAGCCACAGACATCTGGGGAATGGCCCACAAAGATGACCTCCAAAATGATCATACTGATGTAATATTGCTTGAGTCCATTGGTTTTTATCTTAATTTAAATACTTTCTGACCGTGTAAAAAAGATGCAGTCATGATTATTTTCTAGACACATTTTTTTTAAATACAGTACTGTGAAAAAAGTCCCAAACCTTTAGAGTAGTCAAGTAATTATGTGTTTTCAAATAGTAATTGGAATTGCCAGATGCTATAGTCTACAAAAATGTAATACAAAATATTTTGGAGCAGACCGATAAATAAACCAAATGGATGCGTTACCCTCCTTCACACTCTTCCTTTTCTCGCGGGTGCACTGAGTTATCGTATATATTTCCCTCCCCCCCCCCCCCCCCCACCCCCCCCCCCCCCCCCCCCCCCCTCCCCCCCCCCCCCCCCCCCCCCCCCCCCCCCCCCCCCCCCCCCCTCCCCACCCCCCCCCCCCCTCCCCCCCCCCCCCCCCCCCCACCCCCCCCCCCCCCCCCCCCCCCCCCCCCCACCCCTCCCCCCCCCCCCCCCCCCCCCCCCCCCCCCCCCCTCCCCTCCCCCCCCCCCCCCCCCCCCCCACCCCCCCCCCACCCACCACCCCCCCCCCCCCCCCCCCCGCCCCCCCCCCCCCCCCCAACCCCCGCAACTCACTTTAATGGCCAACACTTTTCACTTTATGGATCCTCACTTTAATGGCCAACACTTTTCACTTTATGGATCCTCAAAACTTTAATGGCCAACACTTTTCACTTTATGGATCCTATTCACTTTAATGGCCAACACTTTTCACTTTATGGATCCTATTCACTTATTATGGCCTTTTCACTTATTTGAACACAATTTAGAGAGTTCGACAGACCTCAAAAAATTTAGCTAGTATCCAATTATGCAGACTTTACATTTAAAAAGGTGTCTGCTTACCTTATTCTTGTCAAAGAGGTGCGCACGGGCTGTCCAAGAGGTCTGCCAACTCTTTTCCGCGTCGGAATCTTCAATTTAAAAAACAAAAGTGACAGAAGCGACAAGAAGCATCCAGGAACAGCTCTTCCAGCCTGCTGGAATCTCCGCTCCCAGACACAGCATGCCGATCTCTCACGCCGAGGAAAAGAAACAGAGCAAACTCCCCCAAAACAATCCAGAGAATGGCACAAACCGAGCCGCGCATTCTCCACCAAATCTGTTAGGATTTAGCAGACAGAGACGGATCGTGGTGTGCCAAACTCTGGAAGTTTATTTAAGTTTCTCTCAAGTTCCACTGTTTTACTCTGTTTCTTTCCCTCAGACAGAATAAAGGCAGTACACAGTTTATATAGTCATTGTCACGTCACACATCGAAAGACATACGTGTCACAAAGAGACAGTCAAATCATAGTCATAACATGGAGTCCTTGTAGAGTCCTTGTACAGTCCTGCACGTAGGCCATATTGCTATCTAATACTAATAAATTACAGTAACGTACCACTGAACCACTGTATGTGGACTGAATCAATGCTACACTAAAGTTGTAGCTAAATATTAAAACACATGTTTCTTATTTACTTTACTGCTCTGCCCTGATTCCATTCATTTCCAGATGCAAGCTACTGTTTATGCAAAAAAAAAAACTGCTAATTCCGATACACAATGTTTTATGTATTTACTTTTCCGCATTGGTAACTCAAGTGGTTATTCTCCCAGCAGCCTCCTCACAGTCCAGCTCCTTATGCATTGATGTATTCATTATTTTTACTAACAGACCCACACAAACACATGCACACAATAAAGAAAGAAACAAGCAACTGCTGTAATAACAAGAAATAGTAGATTAGATTTTTCTGCACTTTTAGTTTGAGCCCAAAGAGATATTTATTCATTTAAAATCAAGACATAAATTACCTGACAAAAAGTCGGTTGTAGTGCTCTTTCTGTCTCCAAAAAATAGTTTGAATTTGCTTGTGGTCCTGCCTACATAAAAGCTTGTGTTCATGTTCCAGCCTGAATAGAGGTGTTGCATGTGGCTTCACAACGATGGAAAATGTGTCTTTTTGAAATGGTTTTTGAAAGTGAGTTGTCCTCAGCGGCTGCAGTCGGCACATTAATTAATCCTGTGAGAGTTTTGGTGCTGGACGACGGCCGAGGACCATACTACTTTAACATATTCTTGATTAGTTACGACAGACTCTCATTGTGAGTGGAGAAACATAACGCATTATACAATTGTCATTCAAGTTTGTTTTTTTGAGCTGTACAATACAAACATTTCTCACATTAGTTATGTTAGAGTAAGATGGAGAGAACTACTTTTATGCTGAACCCTTCACCGTGAAGTTCTTTAAATCACTTTTAATTGTTTATAGATTGTTCTGCCCTCGATAAATTGGATCTAGGCAGGCAGATAACCAGAACAATGACTACACTGGTGTCTCCTTTTCCAGGCTTTATTAATTGTCAGAGTGGTAAAACTGCAACAAATAAAAGAAAAACAGCCTCAAGTTGTGCATTCAAACAACACAATACAACATACAACACTGTCAAGGTGCCGCCGAACAAATACAATGCCAACGCTAATGCTAACGGCGGCACCATAGACTTTAAAATTTAAAACAGTGCTCTACTGGAGCTATCCAAAATGGCCGCGAGCGGTCCCGCCCCCAAAAGAAAATTGTGAAAAAACGCATCTGCGCATGCGTCAGCCGGCGCATGTAGACTAGAGTGGTCCAAAAAAAATCACCCCCCTCAGCATTGACACACATGTGGAACGGAGCTTTGGGCCAAGAGCCGACTTTTGGACCATCCTGTAAAGACGTTTTCGAGGGGTCTGCCAATGCTATATGTTAGCATTGGCTAATTCTTATTCCGGGTCCACCCCCATCGGCCCGGGGTGGTATTGCAAGCATGTCAGCACACGTCATTTTGACCACTATTGAGCCGGGACCCGCCAGACATTAGCGGCGCTAGCATAAAGCGCTAGCATTTGGCGCTAATTAAACACAACCCTGGAATAAACAAACTCGGGAAAATATAACATGCAAACCTACTCAAGTGCTATCACGCAAACAAAACAAACTTAAAGGCTGTGCTGGCTCTAACACCTCAATGTGGTCTACAACTGGAGCTGAACCGTGTTTGAGAGATGGAATAAGCGTTCACCGTTTTGCTATTTCCGGTTTGTTTTGGCGAACTCCCAAGTTCGCCAAAACAAAACTATTTACATACAAAAATAAATCATTTTGCTCATAAGAAGCCAGAACACAGATCCTGAAAAGACTATATTTTTTGTTCCATACGCGCTGACTGGAGACGCTGCTCCCTCCTCTCCAAGACCGTTCCATACAGCTCTGACTGCAGACTCTGCTCCCTCTTCTCCACGACAGTTCCATACATCTCTGACTGCAGACTCTGCTCCCTCTTCTCCACGACAGTTCCATAAAGCTCTGACTGCAGACTCTGCTCCCTCTTCTCCACGACAGTTCCATATAGCTTTGACTGCAGACGCTGCTCCCTCATCACCACGACAGCTCCATATAGCTCTGACTGCAGACTCTGCTCCCGCTTCTCCAAGACCGTTCCATATAGCTTTGACTGCAGACGCTGCTCCCTCATCACCACAACAGTTCCATACATCTCTGACTGCAGACGCTGCTCCCTCTTCTCCAAGACCGTTCCATATAGCTCTGACTGCAGATGCTGCTCCCTCTTCTCCACGACAGTTCCATACAGCTCTGACTGCAGACGCTGCTCCCTCTTCACCACGACAGTTCCATACAGCTCTGACTGCAGACGCTGCTCCCTCTTCACCACGACAGTTCCATACAGCTCTGACTGCAGACGCTGCTCCCTCTTCACCACGATAGTTCAATACAGCTCTGACTGCAGACGCTGCTCCCTCTTCACCACGACAGTCTGACACAGTGACTGCATCACATCGCTCCTTCACTCACTCCTGAGAAAAACTCCAGTTGAAAAAGGACCCCTGAGCCTCGATGCCTTGATGTGTATGTGTGTTCATCAAACTGAAAAGTCCCCACAGTGGGACAAAAACAGGACATTCTTCTTCTAACCCACCTGTTGTTGCATTTGTCCTGATGGAGACTTTGGACAAAGACTGTTGCTGCGTATTTCACTGCCTCAGATCATTTTAGCTTTGTTCAATTAAAATGAATAATAATAATAATAATAATTTCATGTAGTTACTCCTTTTGTGTTAATTATATATTTTGCATTTACAATTGTAGGGGTTTTTGAAGTCGATATCGCACATAACTTAAGTTACTTATTTGATGTGGGAGAATTGGGTCAAAAACAATCATATAGTGAATACAATAATTGAAAATAGCTATATTTCAAGGCACCGGTGATAAATCACAACAAATAACGTACATATGACGTCACGTTATCTGTTAATTGGCTCATTTATTGATTCAGTAATCTCATGAGTCCTTATCTAATTAGCTATAAAAAACAATTCTCTTCAATAGAATCTGTAGGTATGAGTCCTTTTACAAATCAGTGATCTAATTTCTGGAGTTAAATCAGTACAAATATTACTTTCAGACAAAGATGGTTTTGTAGATTTAATGAAGTATATACAATACAGAGTAGATATGAAAAATACAAATTGTAACATACATGGTTAAAATGCTATGGCTAAGGTGAGATGAGGCCAATGGGGTGATTACCATACCCCTACACAATGTTTTGTCAAAAAGTGAAAATGTGAATAGAAAACTAGAATACATATTTAGATGAAGCAGTGGACTTCTTTTGAATGAAATGTTGTGTTCTCTGCGGAGGCTGCAGTCTCTGAGCATTAACAGCACAGTTCATCGTAAGCAGTTTAAATTAATGGGAGACTTTACAGCAGCCATCAAGCTTTGTAGACAATCGTTAACACATCTTTAAACCAAGAGAAACTGGAATCTAAAGTGGACACAGAGATGATAAAGACACAGTCTAGTATGACATGTTTCATTATAAAACATGGAGCACTTCTCTTGAATAAAGTAGATCATAAAAAGTTAGATCTTAATCCCACAGTGTGTTTGTGTAATGCATATACCTGTACATGTGGGATTTATGCAAACACACACAGGGCAAAAATACATTTCATTATTATAAAACAGGAAAAGGAATACGTGTATACAAATTATAACTGACACGACATAAAGAATAGATAAAAATGTGTGATTAATCAAAAATGTAATTGATGGACAGCACTGATATATACTGGGTTCTAAAACACTGCAGCTGAAACATTTTAAACAACTCATAAATGTAAATAAATCTGCATAAAGTCTGTAAAGTGTGTATGTATGTAAAGTGTGAATGAATGGTTGAAAGAGCCGATGGCACAGATTAGCAGCATTGCATCTGTAAGTCAGCCTCAGGGCAGCTGTGGCTACAGTGTAGTTTCCCACATACAGAGTGAATGATTATTGCAATTCAAAAGATCTTTAACTGTTCAAAAAGTCAGACGTAGGAAGGCACAAACCTAGTCGTATACAAAAGTAAGAATATCTACCACCAGCTGAATCACTCAAGGGCAGATTCTTTTGAATGGAAGTAGGACAGATTAGAGTTGGATCTGATGCAGTTGAATCCGTGAGTGTGAAAGAGTGGAGTAGCTGTTCACATAAAGACGTCTATTCACATCAAAAGAAGTATAGAATTTCTTCATAATAAAGTTACAAGATAAAAGTTACGGTTAAAAATGCACAAAACAGACAACAAAGTAAAAGACCAAAGTAAAACATACTCCTGAGTTAAGAGTTTTCAGTCTGACTGTTCAATGGACAAAGGATGGAACAGGCACAGTGCTGGGTCGATCATATTTGACTAATTGAACCAGGTCCATAACAAGTAAATCAAAACTAATTGTAATAATCATTTAAAGATATTCTAACTAATTAAATAACAGATTTCTTTGTTCTTACCTGGTCTAAGCCATCTGTAAACTACATCCAACCATTCAGTGAGCGCGGGAGGCCGGTGTTGTAGGTAGGAGTCGGCAACGTCAAGAGTTTGTGCCGAAATTTGCTGGTTGTAGATTTTCAATGGCGGCGAATGTGATAGTAAAGTAATCCGTTCTGGTTCGGCTCCAAACATCATGAAATTGCAGCCGGAGCAAGAGGAATGTTTAGCAGATTTCATCACCGGCAAAGATGTTGTGGCTCTATACTCCCCACAGGCTCCGTTACTGGCAAAGGAGATGGATAAAGCTAGGCTAAATGCTAAAGCTATGCTAAATGCTAAACTCTAGGTCATTCCGGCGCATTGCAGACAACACGGCAAACTCAGATCCAATCGTTTCAATCTGCAAAAGGAGTGAACCCCTCCCACCTGTTAACAGAGCTCAATGGAACAAATCCAGACATTAGTACAATGGTGTGGTAAGACCAGGCTACCATATACACAGGCGTCCTGAGAAGATACTTTACATGTGCTTAAAAAGTACCCAATGTGTATCAAGTCATCTCTATGAGGATGTTCTCAAGCTGCACCAATTGACCATTTTTGTTAAATCTAAAAAATAAATTAATCCCATATTCATTCAGTAATTTTAAAATTAACTAACCAACTAAGCTAGAAAATAATGGATTACCTAATCGCTTATCTTTATTTTCTTGTTTTGTAAGTAAGTAAGTAAGTTTTTATTTATATACCGCCTTTTCACTGCAAATCTGAGTCTCAAAGCGGTTTACAATTGTTCATTTTTGGGCATTTGTCTCTCACTCCTCACAGAGATGGGAGGGGCCAGTACAGGAGGCGCATGCTAGAACTATTGGACATATTTTTAGTGGTAGGGGAAACCGGAGTACCCGGAGGAAACCTACGCAGACACGGGGAGAACATGCAAACTCCACTCAGAAAGGCCCTGGTCCGACCGGGATTCGAACCCAAGACCTTCTTGCTGAGAGGCGAGAGTGCTATCCACTCAGCCACCGTGCCGCCCGTTCAGCACTTGGGGTTGTGTGTGAATATGCGTATGATCTTAAGGCTTCTTATTTTGTCTGGTGAAGCTCTTGGTCTTCCTCTGTGTAATGTGCTACACAGATAAACTTGCCTTGTCTTATCACAAATCTAGCTGATGCACACTGGGGCACGCTTGCACGGTTACTCCAATGTGGTTTTACTGCAAATGGCAAAAAAACGCAATCTTTATGGAAGTGTAGCAAAGACATAGCCAACCAAGTGGAAGAAGGTACTGTGATCAGAAAAAACAAAATGTATAAAGTAAGATAAGATGAACTTTATTGATCTCACAATGAAGAAATGTACAGAGTAACTAGTATTTAAAAGTATATAAAGTACAGAATTCTCCCGTCGCTCGACCCATCCGAACGCCACATGAGACAAACATGGCACAAACATACATACAGTCGACCTTCACACCCGCCCTCGTAATCGCCTCAATTAGCAATCCCCGCTCCCCCAACCCCCCAGGACTGTGGTAAATACGTTCGACTTCTTCCATCAAAACCTTTGCCTGGCTCCAGCCTCGGTCTTGCCCGTGACCTGCCAAGAAATCCCTCCCAGCGCCGTGGTCAAACGGGCGCTCAGCTGGAGAGAGTAAGTGCACATCCAACAGCCTTGTCAAGTTCTATTCCATACTCCCTGTTCTGGCTTCTCTTCGTTTAAAGACCACCATGCCAGTAGATGTCTAATGCAATGCCTCATTATCAGCCCCCCACACACACACCCACACACACGCACACCCCCACCTCCATCACAGCCGTCAGTGTATTCATCACACAGCAGGGCCTCTCCCCCATCAGCTGCGAACTCCACCAGAGAGTCGCGGATCAAACCAAACTTCCCTTTTAAATTGGCCTGACATTGAAGGGTGTTTTTTACGAGGCTCTTTGTTTAAACAATATAAAACATTCATACGTTTCTGTGCGAAAGCGGAAATGGATCAAATAGAAGCTGACGGATTTGTGTCAAAACAAGAGGGGGTGTGGACTCGGAGCTTTCCCCTGACACTGGCAGCGTGCACATCCACACATGGACGCTGTAATAAACGTCATTCTTTAAACAAAAGTATTGATAATAGTTTTATTTTGGAAACGCAGAGGGGTTGGTTCTGCTGCAGTGGTGTTTTTGCAGCACTGTGGAGAGAGAGCACAAACGGCCTCATAAATTTGTGTTGGAAATATTGTATAATTATCCGATGGTTTTGAATATTTAACAACAGCACTAAGTATTTATAATATTGTATTTGTTATATATTTTTGGGCGCTCAAATACGCTTCACAGTATTCATCAACTGCACTCAAGGTAGTGATAAACTAACAGTGTAAGAAGAGGCGATGAGTATGTGCCATCCCCTCCGAGCACCACCATCATTCAAGCACACACCAGACTCAAAGTGTGGGTTGAATTGTGGGTCTTGCCTAAGGACACAACAACAGTTTGGTACTTCAATCTAGAAGAGAAAGATTGCATTAGAATAATATTTATTTCATGTTTGCCTGAGTGTATTCTAGCTCCATGATTAGACATTAGACCTAGGAGACGCATGATGAGATACTAAAATATTAAATGTATTTGGACGTGAAATGTTCTTTAAGATTTGAAGATTAGACCCCGGCAGAAATATTGCATGACTTTTGCAGGAGGGAGTTTGATAGAGATTATGAGCATGTGAACCTTTGGGCCTAAACGCTGGTGGTGAAGGAAGCTGAGCCGATAACATGGCAATCCCCCACTAAAGAGGTGGTGAAGGGGAGGAGGTGGGTTACTGCACAAACAACCACATGATGCGATGAAATTCCGCTTAAGCTGCATTTTTATAAACGCTCCACTGTGGCACCTGATGGTCCCAGAGGCCTCCCGTCACAGTACTAACCAGGCCCTATCCTGCTTAGCATTAGAGGTCTGACCAGATCTAGCTTTGTCATTTTGGATTTACTGGATAAAGCAACACAACAGTATATTTACTTTCATTGATCGACAACAAAATTCCAGAGTTATGTGGAAACGGTACAGAACTGTATGAATTATCAAACGCTTGCTTAGAGTGAGGTTTCCGCGGAATAATTTAATATATTTCCATAAATAAGGCCAAGTCGTTTGCTACTATGACACAAGTTCCATGAAACACACGTTGATAATTCAAATGTAAATCCTATTTTAGTTATGTATAGAGACATTTATCATCTCATCCTTTGGCAGAAATACAATGGGTAAAATAAGTTAAGTATATGAGCTTCACTTCTCTCCTTTATTTGTGGAAAATTAATGACTGTGATCCTTTTAGCCGCTCATTTTGTGTATTTTTTCAAATAAATAACGCTGGTATGATTTGTGTCAGTTTGCGTCAAAGCATCTGCCTCTGTGACTGTGACTGTGAATGTAAATGTGAGAAATCAAAGGTTAGAAATACACAGCTCACGAGGGACTGTCTCCAGACTTGGATGAAACATTGCGCTTCGTGTTTTGGATCTGGCGCCCACATGATGTAAGCCCACAGTCATCCTCTTTATGGACACTGTCACTCGCAATAATGTTGGAATTTTGCATTGGCTGTAAAAGAACATAATGTGAATCTTATGCAGCCGCCTGTGTGTGAAAAAAATAAAAAATACTTCTAGCATTTTGATTATGAATAAGCAGAAAGGCTTCTCACACTTTTGGACGCAGAAATAGTGTGGTCTTGGATTTTGGTTGGTCAAAAAGAGACAAAAACAGACCAAAAGCCACAGACATCAGGGGAAGTGGCCCACAAAGATGACATCCAAAAATGATCAATAATGAGGTAATAATTGCTTGAGTCCAGTGGTTTTTATCTTAATTTAAATACATTCTGACCGTGTAAAAGATGCAGTCAGTGATTATTTCTAGACACATTTTTTTTAAATACAGTACTGTTGAAAAAAGTCCCTAAACCCTTAGAGTAGTCAAGTAATTATGTGTTTTCAAATAGTAATGGAATTGACCAGATGCCTATAGTCTACAAAAATGTATACAAAATATTTTGGAGCAGACCGATAAAATAAAACCAATGGGATGCGTTTACCCTCCTTCACACTCTTCCTGTTTCTCGCGAGTGCACCTGAGTTATCGGATTATTTTCTAAAACCTTAAAGAGCTGAACAGAAAATGCTAATTCCACGTTTGCCGCCCACTCTCCCTGTTGTGACAAAGAAAGGAAAATGCTGGATGTTTGGTTTGGTGGAGAGGCGAGGCAGTGGCTTTGAGTTGGTGCTACGGCTAAGCTAACAACATTGCTAACTGCATCTTTAAAACAGGATTTGCCAATGGGACAAAGCCATTTAGTCTTAATTCAAGAACTTTTACTTTGTATTCTCATTCCAAAGGGAGATTTTTTTTTTAATTTTTAAAACAAGTTCATTTTTCTTGTCCCATTGGCAAATCTTGTTTTCAGGCAAAGTCAAAATGTGCTCAAATTAAGATACAGTTTGTCAATTTTGAGCAGTTTTTGACTTATTTTTCATCACTTTTTGGCAGTGTGACAATGTTCAAGTCCAGGGTGTTTAGCTGTGCGTACAACTGAGGGATTTTATCTTCACTCTTTTTAATGTATTGTGATTATCTATGATTTTAATTACTTGTTTCTATCTCGTTTTGTTCAGCACTTTGAGTAGCCTTGGGTACAGTATGTACTGTGCTATACAAATAAACTTGCCTAAAAAAACTTTTAAAAAACAACAATTGTAAAGTGCTTTGTGACTCTGGTCTCAGAAAGGCGCTATATAAATAAAGATTAATTACTTACTTAAGATAACCCTAACCCTAATATACTATTTACAGTACATCTTGACACATGCAACATTTTATTGTATGTGACTGTTACGACCCGAGAACAAAACATATTTGAGGACACAGAGACAGGTTCAGAGTTCAAAATTCAAAAGTTTAAAAGTGAAATCTTGATTTTAAGGAATAAATGCAAAGGATAACCCCCATGTCCAGAACACAAAAACCCAAAGGACTCAAATCAAAGGTGGACCTGGTGGGGCACGCCCTCTCAGGTAGGACACACCCTCTCTCCCTGGGCAGGGAATGACTCCCAGCTTCAGAGGACCACCGGGGCCACACCAAGCCCCGATGGTCCAAGATGGCGCCCTATTCAAATGAATGGCTTGTGCTCAGTAGCGCATGGGACTGCACGGAGACCGGGAGATTAGCAGAACTCGCCTATATTTGGGCATCATCTGGTCCTCCCGGTTCTGCGCAATGGATTATCTCCCATGATGCTTTGCGCTATCTTCCATGATGCATCGCGGCAAACGTGCGTGTGTGGCTTTCACGCACGCACACAGAGGAGCTCGGCCGCGCTCTGACCAATCAGAGCTGCGAAATGAGTGGAGCCAGAGCGGGAAGGAAAGGAGCAGAGTTTGTGGCAGTAAAGTGTGGATTTAAAGAAAACCGAAGGATTTAAGAAGAAAAAAAGTTCAGGATGACAACGGACACTAAAATCCCCACAAAATCTGATCTTTATGAAAGCTGTAGGTTCTCTGTCAGCTGAGGTTGAGCTGTTTTATTTCACATTGATTTCTATGAGAGTTTTTTCTGGGTAGCCCTCGTGAATTTAGTTTGCAGTACCACGGGCGCCCCCTCCGCCCATGGGTGGGACAGCTGTAAGCTGGTAATACCCTATCCAGTTATTATTATAGATCCATGGGCCAAACACACCCGGCCTACAGTGAAGCTCCCCCCAGCTGTGCGTTGAAAGCACCTCCGTAGCCATCAGCGTCACTACCTGCGGTAGCAGTTCAGACACCTAAACACACACGAGCCAAGCACCCGGAAGCACAGATGGCAGGCGGAACAAACATCAACAAGTGGTGGGGTGTTATAGTGTAGCGCCTGGCGCCCCCAGCTGGTGGGAGGATGAACTGTCCACACTACTACAATATTGTTCAATGCTGTGTGTTAGATTTTGCCAAAGGAGAAATAGACATCGAATCATATCCAGGTCCAGAGAGATGTCTGAGTGTGCGATGCTCAGGTCGTGATAATAAGTCTTTTGAAACAAATACAATAGGGGAAGCTGAATGGAGGTTTTTAATTATATTTGATTAACTAAGTAATTGCATCAGGCACACTGGTAATGAACTCTCATTACTTGTGGAGGTCTGGAAGTAGAAATCCGTTGTGGGTTCAGCAGGTCAGAGGTGACTCTCCGCTGGGAAATTTGCTCAACACATTACAGTGTTGTTGTGTGACACTATGAGGAAGAAGTGATGAAGGATGTGTTATTATTTTTTATTTCAGATTGTCTTGTGTAATTGTGGATTATTTCAGATATTTAGACCTGTGCCTGTGCTTTTTATTTCTGGTTTATTTGTGTTAACGTTCTATTTTTCATTTAAATGTGAAAAAAATCAAGATAACGTTGCAGAACCGGAGAATGACAATGAAAAAATAAGGAAGATAATAATAACACAGTACAAAAAAGTATGCACTGACCCTTGCACAAACACTTAAGTTTTGTATTCTGGGCTGTATATTTTTCAGCAGTACATGTACACAACATAAGTGCATTTTAATATGCTGTGGAATTTCTGCACAGGCCGAGAACACAAACAATTTAAACATCCATAAGAGCTGTAATACAATCAAAGTGTGAGTTTATTCATTAATAACTACCTACTACTTATAACTATTTGATGTTAATTCCGATTGTTTTACTATAAGAATTCTATAACAAGTACTATGTCCCTGCATGTACCTCTCCTTTCATACAGGTAAGGAGTGATGTTCTCTGTATGTCAATCTTTTCATTTCCTTTCTGCTGTCGGTATCTGGAGCCTGCTGCCCTCTTCCCTGCTCGACCGGCCGCTTCCATCTCTCGCCACTTGGAGTCTTTGTGCAGTTTGAGCAGCGTCAGACGGGAGATTAGTCATTCAATCAGAGTGGAGAGGAGTCATTCTGCAGATAAGGAGCTCTTCTTCCGTGCTGCTCCATATGTTCCCTGAGATTGGAGCCTCGGTTATACCCAAAAAGGACTTTAGCATTTCTCTCTCTCTTTTATTTATTTAATTTGTCTATTTGACTTTATTTTTATTTAACACTAGGACTCCCAGGACTTTGAAACTGCTAGAATTCCCAGAGCCATAGTCGTGTGACTGCTCTCATTCAAAACCGATGGAAATCCAAGAAATTTCACCCAAAAAAGTAGAATTATCTACCAGTTGTGTCTATTTTGTATTTATTTTTTTATCCTAACTTCTTCTGTGCAGTGTTAATTCTGTTCAAATAAATAAATAAATAAATACATAATTAAATAAATATATAAATAAATACAAAAAATAATAACAATAAATACATACATAATTAAATAAATAAACTCTAAGACTGAGTTAAGACCGGTGAATATAAGGTGAAATACAGTAGAAAGAAGTTTGTGGAAAGGCTACTAATTGCTAAGCTAACTGCTGGCTAGTAAACAGTGTGTTGCTATGGTAACTGCTGGAGAAGGCAAGGCGAGGCGAGTTTATTCCTACAGCACAATTCATACACAAGGTAACTCCAAGTGCAGAACAAAACAAGATAAAGACACTCGCATACATAATCACAGAATATTTAAAAGAAGGAAAGAATAAAACATATCAGTAAACAGTGTGTTGCTATGGTAACCAACTGTTCATGTTTCTAAGAAATCAAAGATAAATTCATAAAAATAATATACGTTTGAAAGTAATGTTTATGAAGACCAAACATGTACTTATGCTGAGTAGTGTGCACTTCCAAAACGAAAAGCCGTTAAATTGACTGCTCTGGCTGTGAATAGTTATGTAAATGATCTAAAATGATGAAATGGTACGTCTGTGGAAGAGGCTGCAGCAGACACACGTTCACACCCAGACAGAAGCCGGGTCCCACCGGACTGAGGACCTTTCGAGCCAAATCCACTTAAAAACCCTGAGTCTCATCACTTTATAATTAGAAGAAGTGGACGAAGCGAGGATTAACGTCACTGATAGTTGTTGCCCTTATGGGGAAGAAGCCAATTACACCTATAGCTCAAAGACTTACTACAAGCAGGAATCTGGAGCCAAATAATGTGGTGTCAACCTAGCAACCAAGGGAGGCTCCTGAGTGGTCAATTAAGAGGGGTTAAAAATGGAGTAAGCGATTTTGTTAGCTTAGCCGTAGCACCAACTGCAAACCACTCCCCCCCCCTCCCCTCACCTCTCCAACAAACCAAACATCCAGCATTTTATTTTCTTTGTCACAACAGGGAGAGTGGGCGGCAAATGTGAAATTGGCATTTTCTGTTCAGCCCTTTAAGGTTATAGAAAATAATCCAATAACTCTATTGCACTCCCGAGAAACAGGAAGAGGGTGAAGGAGGGTAACCGCATCCCATTGGTTGGTTGGGGATGAACGAATCCCATTGGTTTATTTTTATCGGCCCGCTAAAATATATTTAAATATTTTTTGGAGACTATAAGAATCTGGCCAATTCCATTACTATTTGAAAACACATGATAACGTGACTACTTTTAGGGTTTAGGGACGTTTTCCCACAATATTTAAAAAACAATGTCTGGAAAAAAATCACTGACTTCATCTTTAAACTGTATCTGTATTACCAAAATAATAAGAAGAACAAAAGTTAGAACTCAAATGCAGGACTGGCAAAAAAATATGTCAAATGTACTAAACAAAGCTCAAAAATAGCAAAATCAAACCACAGGTAAATAATAGAAAAGGAAGTCCAACTAAAAAGGAGAACAGATAATACAAAGTCAAACAAACGGTTGATGACTGTGGTGGACCAAGGATTTTTATGCAAATAATGGGGATATCAGACACAAACAGTTACAGAACGAGAGTTTAATCAAGGAAAGTTTATTCATCCATGAGCACTTCCCTACATCAAGCTTACGGGTTAGCATTGTCCTTTTATATAGCAGCACGGTGGCTGAGTGGATAGCTCTCTCGCTTCTCAGCAAGAAGGTCCTGGGTTCGAATGCTGGTTGGAACAGGGCCTTTCTGAGTGGAGTTTGCATGTTCTCCCCTGCACAGGTTTCCTCCGGGTGCTCCGGTTTCCCCTACCACTCAAAACATGTACAATAGGTCTGGCATGCGCCTCCTGTATTGGCGACCCCGCTCCCATCTCTGTGTGGAGTGGGAGACAAATGCCCAAATAATAACAATTGTAAACCGCTTTGTGACTCTGGTCTGTGAAAGGCGGTATATGAATAGAGATTACTTACTACTACTATAGATAGATAGATTCTTTATTGATCCCTGTAGGAGAAATTCAGGTGTGCAGTAGAAACACATCCATCCATACAAACAGAACAAATAAATACATAGTTCTAAAAGTAGCTAACAATAGTAATAAAATGCAACAGTACTTTAGTTCCCAGCAGCAGAGGTGGAATAGCCCCTTTGGACTCATATGCATCACAAATCAAAAACTCTGGCATAAATTCAAACTGCAAAATGTATTCATCACTCATTTACAAGTATTATGTTTCCCTAACTATTCCATTAACAGTTTCGTCTTTTCCAATACAGAACCAAACGTTGCTTTTCTAGATCCCTATCCGTAGCTTCCTGTTATGCCACACCAGTTTGCAGGCCGTTTGCTGCAGCTTTCAAAACAATGCCATTTATCAGAGTTAGAGGCGTACGGAGAGAGGAGCACAGCAAATTCACCCCCATACGCGCTCCCCGAAAGCCTCTGACGACAAGCAGGTATAGCTCCCAGAAAACCCTGTATTTCCAGGTTTGAAGCGAACACCCGAAAGCGGCAGTCTTTTAGAAGCAGGTACTGAGGAGATGCACATGTTCTGCCAAGTTTTCATCCGCAGTCGTTTCTTCTGTTCCTTTGTTGACGTCTCTTTGGCTTGGCTTCTGTGTTTTTTTTTTGGTTTTTTTACGACACTACTTCTGTTTTTTTTTTCCTCCTCTAAGAATCTTGCTCCGTCTAATCTTTATTTGCTTGGAATCCACAGACTGTCTGCCAGCCCTGTGCACTCAAAGACACGCGTCTGCCTAGACAAAGCACTTGTCACCAAAAATAACGGCCACTTCACAGTTGTATCAGAGAAATTCATTTAGGATCTGTTTAAAATCCAGCTTTTTGTTAGTTTGCAGCTTTTTTAATTAACACTTTAATGGTCGCCTTTTGAGTCACTATATCTTTAAGCTTGGAACTTAAAGCTTACTCTTTTGGGGCATCTCTGTCACTTCATCAAACTGCATCTCAACCAGTTTGCAAAGGCCTATAATCATAATTTTTTTTTAAACTGCATTGCTTTCTTCAAGGAGTGAATGTTAAAGAGATAAAGTTTGAATTTCTCACAATGTTTTTACTTTTTTTCAACGATAGTTAGGCCAATACTGAAACGACACATATTCAAAATGTTTTTAAACATAAAACAACAATGTTCTTTCATCTGGAGTTGATTTTAGCTCCATTCATGATTACGATCCATTACAGGGCAGTACCCCCTGAGGAAGCTTACCTCAGTGATGTCACACTCCAGAAAAAAGCTTGTCTGGGAATTTTTTTAGACGACACTTCATCATCATCAAGTTTGTTTTGTATCTGGAAATTATTGTTTATTATTGTTTTTTTTATATAAAGACTCTTTTTATTGCCATTGTAAGTAGGGCAAGTCACAAACAAGGAATTTGCTTTGGCTCATGGTGCAAACTAGTTATTAAAGTAAAAATAGACATAAGGCATAAAGAATTGTCCAAGAAGTCAAATGTAATTTTTAGTTGAGTATTATTTTACGCTTATTTGAGTAAATTAGTTTTTCTTTGAGTAAAATTGTCTTATTAAATGAGTGATCTTCTCTATATCCATAATTATGTAGAGTAACTTCCGAGTTTGTCTTCACAGAGTAAATTCAATCTGGAGAGACTCAACAAAGATTGCATTAGAATATTTAATGTCAAGATGCATGAATAAACACAGCAGACATAGATTCAGTACTGTTTTATTTATTCATAAGCTTTGGTGATTAGACCCCGGCGGGAATACTGCATGACATGTGCAGATGGGAGCTTAATAGAAATTATAGTTACCTGGTGGTGAAGATGTTGAACCGAAGACATAACACTCCACTGAAGAGGCAGTTATGGGGAGGAGGTGGGTTGCTGCTCAAGCAGCAGCTTGATCAGTAGTGAACTGAGAGGCTCTGATTAAATGCAGCCATGATGAGCAGCAGGACGTGCCTTTCGTCTTCCCAAGGGGCAAATTCTTCTGAATTTGTGCTCAAGCTTCATTACTACTCTAATCTGTGTATATTGTAGATAGAGTTACACTTTTTCTCATCAACTCAGAGTAGATTTTAATCCTTTGAAGTAAAATCAAACCACCAAATTGAGTTTAAAAAATACTATTATATAATGTATTTTAATCTCTTGCATGAATACATTTTACTCTTTTTAGGCTGAGACCAAATACTTCCTTTTTCAGAGTAAAATGTCTTCATTATGAGTAAAATGTACTCTGGAAAATTTACTGTGTACAAAAAAACATTGAACAGTGCAGATTCAAAAAGGTTAATTTTGTCTTGAGTTAAAATGGAGAACATTGAAATCAGGAAGCGGGGCAACAACAGCATCAACCGAGATGAGGGAGCTTTCCTCCTGTCCCACACATGGGACACCCTCCTCCAGAGACCACCGGGCGAGAGGGGGCGTGGTCAGTCTGAGCGACCTGTCAGGTCAATCAGGCTGACCACGCCTACTCAGGAAGTAACATCAGCTTATAAATGAAACAGTTCTGAAGATGGCTCGCAGCGCTGCAGTCGAAACATAAAAACATCTAAACTTGTCTTTTAAAAGAACCAAAACTTGTCTTTTAAAAGAACCAAA